GTTATTAGTCCTCAAACCTGTTAAAAAATTTGTAGGAGGCGCCCTCTAAAGTAGGAGTCATATTGATACTAAAATCAAATTTGTCATGTCAAAAAACTCCCAGACACCAATTTTCATCCAAATATTTACATTACTTCATTAAATTATTTGGAAAAAATCGAAACAAAAATGAAACATCTACACCCTGTATCTCCGAAACTAAGCATTTTAGAACATACATTTATACGAACTGTTTTACTTATTTTATCTGCACAATATGCTGCCGAGGTTTCCGGAATACGGTTCGGACCACCCTGTATATTGATTAACCGATATGTCAATCGGAAATAAACTAAAACAAGGCAAACAATGTTGAAACGTATATGGCGGTCTGCTGGCGGTTCGGTTGTCTCACCCGGCCAATAAGGATAATAAGGAAACGGTAAAACATAAAACGGTCGTGCGGGTGGCCTCTAAAGAAAACAACTCGCCAAGGAGATGAAATAAATATAAAAAAAGCCAGTCTATAAACATGGAAAGTGTATCACGGCTGAATTTATAGTGGCACTTATTTGACATCTTTGTTAGAGATCGTACACTACAGGGTTATGTATGTATTGGCTTGTCGTAGTTTAGACTTGTTTTTTTTTATTTGTCAAAATTTGTATCTTCACGTATTGTTAAAATTCAGTTTAGTATAGATTAGATTTTTGAGGTAGCTTCTTTCACCGCGATCTTTCCAGATCCTACTGTAGTTCTTTTCTGATCTCTAGGTATTAACACAGGCAGGGGCGGATCGTGAATTTGTGGGGCCCTGGGCTGAAACTACTTAGGGGCCTACATAAGTACTCAACTAATAGCCATATCAAAAAACTGTTTCTATAATGATATATTATTATTCTTCTTCTTTGCGTGCCGTCTCTTTCGTGGAGGTTGGCGATCACATTGGCAAAATCTTCACGATTCTCGGCTTTCTTTATAAGTTCTTCAAAATTAGGTGAGTCCAGTTTCTGATGTTTCTCAACCAAGATAGTTTCTTCCTGCCGAGACCTCTCTTTCCTTCAATCTTACCCTTAACTATCAATTGTAAGACGTGGTATTTTTCATTTCTCAATATATGCCCTAAGTATGATGTTTTTCTTATTTTTATTATATTGAGCAATTCTCTTTTTCTGCCTATTCTGCTGTAGACTTCGGTATTTGTGATATGTGGATTTAAGTAACATAAATGTTACTTAAATCTACGCAAGTATTAGTTGTACAAAAGGCGACCTTATTGCTGTGGTAGCAATCTCTTCCAGGCAAACTTTGGGTGAGAGAGAAACCGAAATAGTGATATTTAATAAGAATATAAAAAAAACAATAAAACAATTTTATTTATTTACTTATTATGAATTAGTAAAAGAAATTGATAGGTTGTAGTCACAGAAATTGACAGTTATTTGGTCATCACATTCCAAGTCTTTTGATGGTCTTTTGTTAAATCACAATTTATGGAAAGAAGTGATAAATTATTTAGTCGATGGTTCGACATTGTTGTCCTATATTTATTTTCTACATAGGACATCTTGGAGAAGGAGCGTTCTGCTTCACAGCTAGTGATTGGCAATGTTAAAAAAATCTTTAAAATGGTATAGCAGTTAGGGAACATGTTAATAAGTTTATTTTCATACATGAGCATAAAAATGTCACTGCAAGAGGTGTAAGACTCAGACATAGATTGGAGTAAGTACGATTTTAATTGAATGCACTCATTCACTAAATGCTGACGTGTGAATGAACTTTTAACGTGTCTCTTTAAATCTTTCTGCGCCGTATACTGAGAATTCACCTGTAGACTTATCTGAAAATTTTGGGATAATGCGTCTCTTGTTTATGTAATTGTAGTCTATTATTACACTAGTACTTAATTTTTTAGCTTTTTCATCGTATTCCTGTAACATTTGATCTGATTGATGTCGTATGTTGCTCACAAAGTCTTTTAAAGAAACAATTAACTTGTTGCCTTCGCAAATGTCTAAACCAGGGCTCTGTATTTTTTTATTAACTAAATGAAATCTCTCCAAAACTTCTTCCCAAAAGACAATCAAACTTGCAGTCTCGAGTTTCGCCATTTTATTGAATAAATTTCGTGCCTCTTTCCGGAAATCAACTTTCTCAACCTCATTTTCGCTGAAACTTTTGAAAATTTTCATAATGTCATCATAGTTATTTTTTAAGGCTTTGACAGCATCATAGTGGCAAGGCCATCTTGTCTGGTTTAAACTTTTAACCTGAATTTTAATTTTATTTCACGATTCAACAGTTCCCACCTATGGGTCTATTGTTTTTCGCGGGGCCTGGGGGCCCCTTGTAACCTCGGGGCCCTGGGCTGCAGCCCAAACAGCCCATAGGTAGATCCGGCCCTGAACACAGGTATTAATAATAACTTGAAGACTTAGACTCCATATAGATCTTTGTCATTGACTTTTCATTGTCCAAAACAAAGTACCGCATATTTACATAAAATGTGTTTTATTGTTTCTTCTTTTTTGGCCTTTTTATTTTTAAATTCTGGAAATGTAAAAATTCAGGGTACCTACAGATCTGTTTCACTGATTAATCACGATCCTGCTCAAACCACTCAACGTAAGAAGCTCAATTTTGGCATACAGGTTGATTGCAGAGAGGTTCGATAAGAAGGGATTTTTCGAAATTCCAGTTCCAAGGGCGTGAAACCACTCCTGAAATATTACAATATTTTTTATTTAAAAGCGGTCAGGTTTCCGAAAAAATGCTTAAACACGTATATTTTATTTTGTTTTTTTACATATTTTAAGATTTTTTAAAAATGTATATAGGGTGTTCCGAAAAATCTGGTCATTGATATCACGATCCTGCTTAAAGCGCTTGACGTAAAAAGCTAATTTTTGGAAAATGGATTGACTTTAGGGTGTGTAGGTCCGATAAGAAGGGATTTTTCAAAACTCGAATTCTAAGGGGGTGAAACCACCCCTCAAATATTAGAATATTTTTTTATTTAAAAACCGGTGAGTTTTTCGGAAAAACTCTTAAACACGTATATTTTATTTTGTTGTTTTACATATTTTAAGATTTTTTACAAATTTATACAGCGTGTTTCACAAAATATGATCATTGAGTAATCACGATTCTGCTTAAACTGCTTGACGTTTAAAGCTGATTTTTGGCAAACGGATTGACCGTGGGGTGTAGAGGTTCGATAAGGAGGGGTTTCTCGAATCTTAAATTTCAAGAGGGTGAAAACGCCCCTCGAATATTACAATATTTGTTATTTAAAAAACGGTTAGTCTTTCGGGAAAACGCTTGGACAAGCATAATTTATTTGTTTTTTTTACATATTTTGAAATTTTTAAAAAAATCATACAGGGTGTTTTTAAAAAAGTTGGGTAATTTCTTAACCACGATTCTGCTTAAACTGCTTGACGTAAAAAGCTTATTTTTGGCAAACGGAATTTTCGAAAGTCAAATTCCAATGAGATGAAACTACTCCTCAAATATTACCAAGTTATATAATAATATCGCCATATTGTTTTTTCTCATGCTGACATAAATGTGAGAAAATTTTATCCAGTTTGTATGTTAATGGAAATTCTTGCTTTGCTTTATCATCACCATTACGAATGATTAATTCGACGCGAACGAAGTCGCTGGTACACGCTAATATTTTATAATTCACTGCCATGTTTTACAAAACCCACCTCTAAGCAAAATTAATGCAAGAAATAACATTTTCTTTTCAAAGTACGAGTCTCTACTTTAATACGACTTCCAAAAAAGGTAAATTGATGTACTGTGCGGCAAAAAATATGTGCAAATATCCATGAAAAATACATGAGCCGGAACCGAGCAACCACGGAAAAGGGTCACCGTCTTTCATTTTGCAAAGGTCCTTTCTGTATTCAAATTTAATTTCTTAAAGGAAAAAGAGAGATAATTGTGCCGATAGACGTGGTATGCAGTAGGAAAGTTATTCCTTGTGGTTTATGTTTTGTATAGCCATTTGCAGATCTTTCAGTTTTTATTTGTTAATTCATAAAAATCAGCGAATAAAATGACTAGGAAGATGTTTAACAAGAAAATTAGAGGTTCTAGCTTTCTAGAACTTTTTTTTAATTTACTTAATTATAAATATCAAAAAATATAATTATAATTTTTGAAATTAAAAAAAAAATTGTGAAACTTCTTCACGCGCGTTGGGTGTAAAAATTCAAAGCCTGGATTAAATTGCAATTCCTAATTATTAATCCGGTAAATAATGGAGATAAACAATTGTGATTGATTAAAATATTATTTTAAGATGAAAATTTTGTTAACAGTATTCTAAGAATTCGAATAATGAATTGAATAATGACAAGACAAGTGACATCTGTCTAAAAATACAGCGATTTAGAGTGTCAACGATTTGGTTATGTAAAATTTAGAGTGACAATCTTGGTTACGCAAAAGAAATACATATTCTATGAGTTTACTGGTTGCCTAACGATTATCATTAATTTAAAAATAATAGATAATGTATATGTTACCGTTAATGTCCGAAATGCGGTAAATCCTAGGATAAGCGCGGTAAAACCTAGGATCAGCGCGCTAAACCTAGGATTTACCACCCCCCAAATAACCACGCTAACCAACTTGAAATGTGGTAAAACCTAGGATTTACCACATTTGGGACATTTACAGTAACATATAAATAATGAATAAAATTACATAGATAATGTATAGACCAGTGATAGAAAATAGTACAGGACATAAAAAGTTACAGTAAGAATGGAATCACCCATTCAACTCTATTCAATATTTATTTGACCATCAATGGTAAAAATTCTCGTACATTTCCAGAGAATGACTCAATTCCTGTGATAATCGTTATCAAGTTTGACTACGTATATTTAGTATATCCGTATTCATTTTAGTTTAGTTCCTTTTATTTAGTTTTTACCATTTATTTCTTACAAATGTTGTTATTTTAAAAGTATACTCAAGTGTTTTTTGTTTCATTTCAGAAAAGTGTATCTCCTCTGTCAGATGGTACTCCAAAAAATAAACAGGAAAGGGATAAAAGCAGCAAAAGAAAATCGAACCTGAATAGATCTCTTACCTGCGAAGAAGTTCCACCATCTAGTTTTAATGGTGAGTAATCATTTTAATCAATGAAAATTACTAACAAGTAGGTAACATGGAAATGTTTACGTGCGTACATGCGTACATATGTAAAATATTCAAATTAGAATTAACTCAGCAGAAGATGGCATCTTCTTGAATGATATTGAATTTATTTATAGCAAAAACCAATTGTGCTGGAGTAATTTCAAAATATTTTGTTGAAATCGTAAGACTCACCGTGTCTGCAACAAGACCAAGACTAAGACCGGACTAATTAATAGATTGCAAAACCAAGACAAAAAAAAACAATATTTCCAAAATGGAAATATTCATCATCGCATAGCCGTCACTGTAGTCCAAGGAAATAGGCCTTCAAATAGGAAGTTTTGGTAAAAACTTCAGTTTTTGATATACATAAGTTAATTTGAAAGATCTAAAAACGAATTGTGAAAGACTTTTTTTAAATTCACCTCCGGAGAAGGGGTGATGTGATATAAATAAATAAAATTATTTTTCGAAATTTCGGAACGATAAGGACTAGAAAAAAAATTGAAATAAAAGTTTTAGAGCGTCCAATTTTGTATAAAAATGGTCTATACCCTTTTGGCTCAAATCAAAATTAGCTGAGATAGGCTGGCTGGAAGCTAGGGTACAGCTTTTATTGATTTGTTTTAAGTCCTTACCGTTTCTCCAAAATTTGGGAAAAAACTTTTTATTTATATTTTTCACCCCTTCTCGAGGCGAATTTAAAAAAAAAATCTTATTTGAAATTTATAATTTTCCGCCTATTTTCTTGGACTATTAGGACATTCTTTACATCCAAATTTCAGTTTATGTTTGTCTGTGCTGATTTTTTCAAAAGAATCTTCTGTTATATTTTTCTGCTGCGAAAATAATCGTGGTTAACTGAGTTTCTTTCCTTTATTTTCATTATATGCCAGACGCTGAAAAACGTTTAACCATCAAGAAGAAAAAAGACTCATCTTGTTATAATGGTAATTGTTTTAAACATGGAACGAACTATAATGGAAAGGCTTAACTACGTATTGAAAAGATGATTCAATTTAGAATCAACTGAACTTTATAATAATACTCAGTGTAAATTCAGTTATAGCAGAAACCAATTATATTGGAGAGATTTAAGTGTGTTTTGAAGGGGATTATTTAAATTTAAGTAACTCAATTTCAGAATACAAAACGTGAATTAATTTATATGAAAGGGGATGAAAACTAAATTATTTAGATCAAATTCAGTTTATTATATTACTTGCTTCGAGGCGATTTTCAACAAGAACTTGCATTTTAAGGACGAGTGCAGAGTCGGACTGGGCCAGAGGGGGCTAAATTATTTTATTCAAAAAATCGACAATGAACCAGAATACCATAATACTAGGTGTATTAATATCTAATAATTAAGATATCAATGACGGTGGCAAGAAACGACACCTCAGTGAGTTCATTATCTTTTGATTGCTTTTCTAAAAATGCCTTTCTTCACTAGAGAAAAAACTTTGCTAAGACTATCAAAATTTTTATCTAATAACACTTTGACGTTTATACTATTACGTCAAAAGCAACATTTTTCCAAAGCCTACTATGACTTCACTGAGGCGTCGTTTCTTATTAACTGTCATTGATATCTTTATTATTAAATATTAGCGATGGGAACTATCGAATGAATTAGACTATCGAATGGTTAATGAATGAATGATTTCAACTATCGAATGGTTTTATTCGAATAGAATCATTCATTCATTTGTATACTAAAGCATATGTGACAACCTCGCCGTGCGACTAAATGGTTATCGTTGAGCCACGACTATCGAATGCTTTTGATAAATGAAATTTAGTATTCGTTTGATTTTTGTATGCGTCAGTGCATTATTAGTTCTTCCAAATTTTTATAACTTCGCTGTATAAATACTGTGCTATTTTTGCGTTTATTAAAATAGTTAAAATAAATGAAAAAAAATTGTGTGGTTTTCCGTAGTCCGATCTTTCAATTATTTAATTTTATATGGTAAATGGTCTATTTTTTAATGGGAAATTTTGAGAAGTAGCAATTTTTAAGAGAGATGAGATGAACTTACAATTAATTTTAAAAATACATATTTGTATTTTAGATGTTTTAATAATATGAATTAGTTGAACTTAATAAACATATTTAAGTAATGTGGTTAAGTAAATGCGGTTATCGAACTCAAACTATGGGGTGAGAAAATTAAAATGAAAGTTTTACACGTGTTTTTTGCGAAGAAATATTTCATTTATTTTTTAAAGTAAATGCCAGTAAAAGTAAATATAATTTTTAAATAGTAATATAAAGCACCTAATATAAATAATTTTGATTTCTAATTTTTTATTTATATTTTCCTTCCATTACACTGCATGCTTAGAAAATTAATAAATGTTTATATTTCATGATTTTAAAATTTGTTGTTAATATAACAAATTAGTTCTGTAATTATTATTATTTAATAAACCAACGTTGCCACACACAAAAAATTTAGAGACTATATTATTTTTAAATAGGATCTAATATAAATAATTTTGACATCTAATTTGTTGTTTATATTTTGCTATTGCTTAAAAAAAATATTTATATTAAATGATTTTAAATTTTGTTGTTAATAGGTATAACAAATTATTCCTGTTATTATTATTTATTAAACCAGTCTTTGCTTAAAAACATTAAAAATAATTTTCCTACATCCAAAATAACAAGTATTATTGCAGTGTAACAACAGAATATTAATAAAAAAAATGCAGAATATATAGACATACTATCCCTAACTAACTAAAGCCAAACAATAATATTCTTTGCTAATATCAACTAATACCAAAATATGGCAACAGCGCCCTTCATAATGTATTTTCTGTGTAAATACTAGCACCTCAATAATAAAATAATGTGTCCTTATCTATATCTGACTCAAAATCAAAGATGCCGGCTTCTTTCATAGCATTGCCGAAACCTACGTCGCCGGGCGACAACTAAAATTCAGTTAATATTTTATTATAATCGATCCTGACGAATAAATGAATTTCATAAATGAATGAATTTTATAAATGAATGGTTTTTGCTGCCGAATTACTAGAATACAATATTTCAAGGCAGATGACGGATCTATTCGATAATTTTTATTCGAATAGTTTTCAACGAATGTTTTCTTACTAACTATCGAATTATTCGAATGAATTGCAACTATCGAATGTTTCGATAGTATTCATTCGATAGTTCCCACTACTATTAAATATTAATTGATCTGTTATTATGGTATTCTGGTATATGTCGATTTTAGAATAAACTAATCATTTCTATCTTATTTTTTGTCAGAATGTTCATAATCAAGAAAGCTAGTAATACCGTGTTAGAAAAATAAGGTAATTAAGGGCTTATATTTTCATATTTGTTATAATTTTGCTAATAACTTTGGTTTGAAAAAAGATATCAACATGCGGTTTATTACTCTTTACTATCAGCTAAAATTACATTAACAATCGCATTTAATTTCTTTGAAAAAACGGGCAATGTTTGTTAAATTGTAAGACAGCGCCCCCTAGCGTCTACATTCAAAAGCTTATTATTATTGTTTATACGGTATAATATAGAGTAAGAAACTCTCTTTTAAACGAGCCCCCGTTTGTTGGATTCCGTTCACCCAGGCCGGAGTTATTAATATTTAAATAAAAACAGATGTAACCTTCCCCCACCACTTTATTGTGGCAGATAGGGGAAAATGGTTCTAATGAAAAATATTCAAAACTTACTGAAGATTATGAAGTTATTATTTATAGTACCCGTTATGTAGGTGAAATTGTGTAAAAACTCCTTTTTTCTTATTTTTTTATAGCAGTTGCGCCTCCCAGCGGCCGTTCTACATACTTAAAAATAATTTCCAGCAATTTCTCATGGCCTCTTTAGCTATGAATATTTTTTTCCGCATGCTCTCTGACTAATGCTTTCTGAGATACAGCCGAGAGCTATTCTGAGTGGGACACCCTGTACATATTCTTGGCAGTCTTACAGCAGTCGCCTATAATAATTACATGGCAGTTATAGGCAGTCTTCTTCGCAGTCATTTGAAGTCGCTTGAAAGTAAAATGATATTTTGGCAGTACATTTTTTACCCAAGGGAGACACCCCTCGATTTTACTTAATAGTCTACCGTTCTTATATTTATCAGCGATATGGGAACAGTTATAATAAATGTAAATGGTATACAGCTTTGGCAGGCATCCGAACCACTTCGAAAAAAAAATAACAACAGATGTCCTTTGGAGTTTGATCTTCGTTCGTAGTGTCCTTCGTCACTCTGAGAACCTGAGCCATTTATGTCTTGATAACTAAGTCACATGTTAATTTCAAAGCCATTTTAGACAGTTAATTATACAGGGTTGTTCACCACATACAACACGGAGTATTGTAGCTAAACGATGAGATTTTTACAAATTGTAAGTTTTGGGTTCGATGAAGGACTATTAGAGGTACAATTTAAAAATAATTTTACAAGATACAGAGTGTCCCAAATAAGTAAAAAATATCAAAGTTGTATTTTTTTAAATGGAACATCCTGTATATTATTACATTTTTAGTTTCTACGATTAAAATAAAGGTAAATTTGATTAAGGTTTATTATACTTAAACCTTACCGTTTTTGAAATATTTTCAATTTTGTGAAATTGCAGTCAAAATTTTAAGGCTTCATTTCTCCAAGGGTATCAAAGTTTTTAATACTAAATATTTACTGAAGTTTATTTACTGATCAGTTATTGTGTTGCAATAATAAAAATAATACTACATTATACAGAGTGTCTAAAAATTTATTTTAAATAATTATTAGCTTCAAACGGCAATAACTTGTTTAATTTAAATGGAACACCCTGTATATTTTATGAGAATCAGATGCACAATTTAATTGTCTATCAAATTATATTATACCATTTTTTACCTATCTCTTTAAGTTTCCGTAGAAAATGCATTTTCTTGTAATTTAGAACTTATTTATCAATATACCCATGGACTA